TGAAACCCAGCTCTGATGATGTCCATCATATGATGGACGAAAGCTCAGCACGTTTTCACCCAAAACAAGGAAGTTTTGTGGACTGCGCAAAAATGAATATCGTATAAAAGCCAAACGGCTGCATTACGAGATTCATCAGTCCTCATCTGGTGAGATCGACCAACGAATCTCTACTTATTCACTTTCATGCGAACTGTAAGTCCCCCTAACAAAGATTTTGTAAATTAAAATTGTTGTCCACGAAGACAGACTGAATTATGAATAACGTATCATCGGCTAAGGATAAAGAAAACATCAAAAATGAGAAAAACTACTACGCCGTAAACAAGCAATAATGTATAATTATAATTAATGATTAAAAGCTTTCTTAAACGTATTCTACACAATGATATAATTGTATTTAGATTACTTAGAAACAAATGGATAAACTGGCCAAAAAGACAGACAATAAAGGCAATATAAATATCAAGAATAATAACCTTGACTAAAGACATAGTTCCTAGCATCACTTTGAAGAGGCTCCAGCTGCGAAAGAAATTGGAGAATCAGAGGGGCCTGAGATTGCATTACCTAAAAGAATGAATTAATGTTCGAATTACACGTATTCCCTCCATGTGAGGATTTGAAACGCGTATATTATGTCTGTAAGGAGTGTACCCACGACCCGTATGCGTCGCCGTGTTACCACGTGAAGCAAGACGACTAGATCGCCTCAGACCCCACCTAACAGGTCTTTCTAACTCATCATTATCTTCATCTTCAAAATCATAGTCATCATCAAAATAATTTTGGCCTGTTGCGTTTTGAAGTCCCCTGAGGGGAAGGGATCCGGGAAAAAGCTGCTGCAATAACTCAAAAGCACCACCAGGAGACTAAAAACATGTAAAAAATTCCTCCTTACTATATTTTCGTGCCCCCTATTCGACCTCGTTCTAAATAAAATACATTAATAGCACAAGAGAAGCCTCACCCATCCGACAATGGCTCGATAAATCCAGAATTGCAGGCAGGGCAAGTAAAATTCTATGCGGACATATATAGGAAGATTTAGTTATCACCTCTAAATTAGGCTCTATTTCTCTCTGGCACAAATGACAGTAATAAGCCGTAATCGTCTGAGCCGTGGCCATGTATAAACTGCTATTGAAAAATCTATGTGGGAAGTTGGGCGCCAAACACCTATTCGAAAGGCCCCAACTGTGCCACGATACAGTAGAAACCCTAAATTACAAACATTGTTAACTTAATAAGTCAGAACTAAGATTTAATTAATAAAATGTATAAAAAAAATTAGATTTACTATCTGATAATTTTACTTATCTGATGATAGTAACATTGGCTACATGAGAAATGTGGTGAATCCCCATAGAATATTTTGTATATGCTCAATAGCCTACGTAACTAGAAATTTATAACCAAAACTTACACATTTTGATGCAAAACATATTATGTTGATATGCCCTGGTCATGCTATGTTTTCAGATTACATAGTCCTACAATTCTAACAATTCTTCGCCTTGCTCTGAAGATTGTTTAATATACC